TCTCTCTCTCTCTCTCTCTCTCTGGTCAGCAGACGTTTGGTCGTGTAACGTTACACATCGCCGCAACCTTTGGTCTTCGGTTCCGGTTCCCGGATCGAAATAAGCAAGAAATTACTTTTCCCCTCCAAATGAGGGAGGGCTTTGACCCTTAAGGGTCCGAATTCGGACATGTGGGCCATGCTCTTTTTAATGATTTTTTTGTAGTGAAGACGCCCCACTTTAAACAAGTAAGTTTTTTTTTGTCTCGTCCAAATTACGATTTAAGTAGAGAAAGAACTAAAATTTTCCTTCCCTAGGAGGACAATGGGGAAATTAGATTTAAGTATGCGGGCACGCAGCCCTATAGTACCCTAGACGATAGGAAGACCCGTGCATGTGTGAAAGTCCTCTCTACACTATAATTGCGGTTCTAGAAAACGCCAGAATAAGTAATGTAAATTTTAAATAAAAACTCCTTTAAAATAAAAAAAGAACAAAATATTAATAATAGTTGCTAAGCAAATTTTCAAGTAAAACGTTTGGAGTGAGTGTATACGCTTTTGCTCTAACGTAGCGGCGACCACCATGAATTTCCTGAAAACGTTTTGCGGCAGTTGGCGGAGATGCGTTGCAATCACGTCCAGAAATCCAATAATGTCGAAATTTAGTCGCTCATCGTCGCAAAATCGACTAATTTTACAATGTGGACGTCGATTCGATTTCACATTATTCTGGCTTTTCTTTTCGACAGTGACGAACACGACGTCCTGGCCCTGGCCATTGTGGCCGCAGTGTGACGCTACAGCGGGCTCGTATGCCATTAGGGCTCGCCGCCGGGCTCGGCTTGTTCGGCCGACGCTGCCCGGCCGGGGCCGGCCCAGCGGCACCCAGTGGACCGGCACATCCGCGACACCAGAAAGCAATCAGCGCGGTGCGGGAGTCGCGGCGTGGTCCTGTTTTTCTACCAGCGCGCCAACCACACAGTGGCAGCGCCATCAACAGTGATGTGCGCCCAAGACGGCGGGGAAACACTTTCGCATTCATGGCATCGTGCTAGGAGCTGTCTCTCTCTCTCTCTCTCTCTCTCTCTCTCTCTCTCTCTCCACATCGCAACATTCTCAAGGAGGCCGAACAGCTGGGCAATGCGCATACCGACACGGCGTTTGCATAAATGATGACGGTGTTGAATGTTTGGGGCCCACTTGGGGCGGCTGCCGGGTGCTGCAGACCCTCAAGGGTCACTCCCATTGTGTCCCCAGTGGTGGTCATGGCACACCACCCTCCAAAGGTACTTTAAGCAAAAGCCAGCCTTGCTTCACCTTGACAGCCATGCGTCTTGGAGCTCCTCCCTCTCATACCTTCTGTTCTCCACCCCCTCCCCTTCTCTCTCTGTCAGCCCTTGCATTCTCTATCCACCTTCAGCCCACAGAAAATTGCAACTTTACGGCAAACTCTTTTCTTTCTCTTCATCCTCTCTCTCATAATAATTCCGGCGGCGTGTGGAATGCACCTGTCTGAGTGCTGCTTTGAGGGGCCCCTTTGCCCCACTCTTATACGCCACGCTGCGCCCCGCCCGCGCTCGGATGGATGTTGCCAACCCATACAATTGCTACCTCTCGTACGTGTGTAGCTAACAAGGCAAGTTATCCCCGCCGCCGTGCACCCTCACAATGCCGGTGCGGGGGTTGGTAGCACTGCACAACTTTACTGCGCACGGCCGATGGGTTGGCAGCAGCGGCGGAACAGCAGCCACGGCGCAAAAGCCGAGGCGAGTTTATCAAAGTAACTGCTGTTGTATTTTCGCATGAAAAAAATGAAGGTGGGGTTGCGAACCTCTTTCATTTTTTGATTTATAAAATCGGTGACCGGAACAAGAAACCGAGTGCCCACATACCGGCAACAAAACGGCGCCCAACCCTCACCCACAGCCCTGAGCCCTAGGCCCTAGGTAATGGATCTCTATGACGCCCGTGTGAAGTTTCACGCCTGCTTAGCCAGCCAGCTAGGGAGTGTAGCTCGCCCACGCAGTGGTAACCACCTTCTACACCTTCGAGTACCTGAGTGGTGAGAGGGCGCACGGTGTGGCTCTTTAAGCTCGAGCGGCCCATAGCCCCGGGGGTCCCTGACTTATAGGGTGGAGTCCGAAACAAAAGGTGCGAATCGCTTCCGACCTGCCTTTTGCATTGCAGTCCGTATTGGTGGGCGGGGGCCGCGGGGCGGGGGCCGCACCCATAGCAACGCCTGCTCTATAAGTCTATAACTGGCTTTCTACCATTGAGTCTGGCGGTGGAGGGAGAGCGAGCGAGGGGGGGAGCATGGGGTGGACGAAGGGGAGCAGGGAGGGGGAGAACAATGCCAACCACCACAACAACGAACAACTTTCCAGAAACTAGGAACTACGCTCAATGCATCGACGCCTACGTAAATCCACGAGGTCCTCTCGAACCCCTCCCCTCCCCTAGCCTACCCTCCGGCACTGGTACGCAACCATGCGCGGTGAGAGGACCGGCCCTGGGTCTGCTCTGGTGCTTCGGGGCCCGGCCTTCCTGCCGACCAAAATGCTCCGATAACCGCAGCGCAAAAAGGATTGGGCCGATATATCGCGTACTCGCACCTTGGACATGGCCCACACGCAGAATGATCGCCGACAGCACTTGTTCTCTAGTGACAGTATTTTTATCAATTTTAAAAATATATAAAAATTAACATAAGATGGTCTACAGTATACCAGGTGGCTGATTCACGCCGCGCACTTCTGTAGTTATGCTGTACCGCATGTACGAGTGCGGGCGGGTTGCCTACTCGCTCGGCTATCGTAAGGCGCCGTGGAGAGGGGCGATAGGCAAGCCCGCACGCACTCGTGTATGCGGTACAGTATACCCACAGAAGTGCGCGGCGTGAAACATCCACCTGGTATGTCGCTTTGAAGTCGCGTCGGTCAGATTTGAGAATTTAAATAGTATGTACTTCTTGCTCTCTTGCACATGCTCGTCAGATATCTGACTCCATTCGTCGAATGTCTCAAAATGCCGAAAAAAGATTTTACTCTCCCCCTGTTCCACAATATTGCCCCCATGCGAAACAAGGCCACCCGCGCCTGCCTGCCCCCTAGTATGGAGGAGCAGGAGTACACTACAGACCGTAATCTGATAATGAACATAACTTTTTGAGATGAAGAAAGGAAACAAATGGAACGTGCTAAAGTAGTACGCGGGATCACAATGGTCGTGCCCGGCCCTGAGCCCCGCTAGGCGCACGCTCGCAAGGGCCGTGAGGGGCAGGCGGCAGGCCGCGGCAGGCCCTACCGGGAGGGTGCGATCCATCACCACACAGCGCCAAGATGCGCCAAAATTCTTTCCCTCTTCTTTTTCACGTTTCAAAATGCATTCTTTGAGCACGACTCTTTTAGTCTTGAGACAAAACCTAACACTTAAATGTGAAACTAAACGGTATAACTACGCCCTCCTCAAAGGAATCCCACTCCGCCGACCTGTGCGAGTAAACGTAAGCTTTGTCGGGGCCAAAGCAGGGAAAAGAAGAAAAAATAGGGAGTGGAAACGAAGAAGTGTCCAATTAGAATAATACGGGTCGCGATTGATGCTTCCCAGGTGAGTTATAGGAGCGCATCCGTCAGCGTGAGCCGCGGCGGCACCGCGCCACCGGCCTCCCTCGGGCCTCCAGGACACAAGCATGTAACTGATGACCCAACATTTTTTCTGTGTTCCAGAGGAGCGGAGTGGGAGGGGGGAGATGGGGAAGGGGACAGCAGAGGATCGGGGCTGAGCAGCAGACACGAGAGGGGGCCGTATAGAGAAGTACACAGAGGTCGGCGTAAGAGGAGTAAGAAGTAGAGATACGGCTGCGTTTTTGCGTCATGGTGTTTATATACGCTTACCGGACCGCGTCGCGTCTCCCTCCCTTCCTTTTTTCCATCTTGATACTCTGTCCTCTGGGACGGATAATCGTCCGACCAATTAGGGGCGTGTCATCCGGACGGACCAACATCTGGAGAGAAGGAAAAAGAAAAGGCAGAGGTGAAACACGCGAATCAAGCCAGGGGTAGAAGAGTTGGCCTACAGAAGAAAGGTGCACTGGAAGGTGCTAAGACATCCAAGAGAAATTTCTGTTGAAGCTATTCCACCTGTCCTCAGCACCACAGTAACTCTTTTCAATGGGGGAATGCAAGCAAAAAGTAGTAGAAATGGGAAGGGCAATATTGAGTTTTAGCTGACATTGTATTGACAGGGAATACTTTCTTTTTGTCTTCATGAAATTCCTTGCTCTCTTTTACCTTCTTCCCCAAGCCTCGGCTGCAGTGGGCAGACAGCCAGCGGAACGCGTGGGGCATCTCACAATAATGACCATAAATATAATAATAATAAATATAATAAGAAGAGTGATCGTGACGAAATAAATCGCCACCCCGGCCAATAGAAACGGGCGGGAGAATAAAACAAAAGCCATTACCTCGGGATGAGATGAGGTGCTTTATACGTGGAGCGGGCGGCCGCGTCCGAGGGGTGCAGCCGGCGCTTTCGGACGCCATGGAACGTATCGGCCGGGCCTCTAATCGCTGCGCCCACACACTCGCACATTGAAATATGGCCCATTTTACCAGCAAACTGCACGGGGAGGGATGTGGCGCGGGGAACGAAAACCGACGAAAACGCAGAGATGGGTCCAAAGTCGTGGCGCCAGATATAAAAATAAGATAATTTATATGGCAAGAAACACATTTCATTTCGTTTCATCCCTTTTTTTGCGGAGTAGAGTACATCCCACCCTTTCGTAGCCTCAGAAACTAACTGCGATCTCTGTCACACGAAGTCGGGCTGACAACACAAAGACAGCAGACGGAAGCAGACGGGCTCCATTAATCATATAATCTGGGTCAAATTAAGTCTGACGAATCATTAGCATTAATGGTGACAATGAGACGGTGGTGATGTACTACTGCCGCGATGGATTCCTCATCATGTGCTCCCCCCCCCCCCTCTCTATCTGTTCTGCCCTTCACACTCGCTCTCCCCAACGCCTGCAACATGATGATATGGGGCAGGGCACAAAAAAGAGGCGTAACAGGTGCTTTAATGCGATCGTCTGTGCGCGTGTGGGTGTGTAGCGAGACACGACGATGAAGCCATTTGGAACTCCAATATCCAACTGCTACATCTTTCATGCGACAGACTGGGCCATTGGTGGCAGATTCCCCGCTACTGGAGGATGGCAATGTTGAAAGTGATAGTGTGTGTGTGTGTGTGTGTGTGTGTGTGTGTGTGTGTGTGTGTGTGGCAGAGTGAGTAGGAGAGTAAGAGAGAGACAGACAGAGATGAAAATGTGAAGAGAAGCAGGGACGGCGGCTAGACGGAATGTGATATGAGCGAGTTGCAGGGTTGCGCGGGGCCACCCGCAGAGTCCCTCTCCGTCAAAGACTTGCCAAGAATGTCACTGACATGTCGCAGAGACGCAAGAGACTTCTTAGGGAAAAACAATAGTTAGAGCGAAAGGCCTGCTGGGGGGGGCCAATACACTTCAATCAGGAAGGGGGGAGGGGGCGAAGGCATAGGGGTGCCCAGCCACGCATCCCCCCTCGCTGACACGTCGACATCAGGGGAGGTTTCTGGAGGCGAGGCCGCACACGAGGCGGGGCTTGGAGGACAAGATGGACCAGACTAATTGCATTCTTCACGTCCCGCTACAACCCTTTCTATGGCGACCACTGGGCACGCCCACCATGCTCGACTCATACAGGATACAAGCGCTGCACCCAGTTATGCGCGGCGGGGAGCGGCCCTGATCCGGCTCCGGTCGCCCGTTATCTGAACGTTGAGAGGCGGGGTGTGGCGGGGTGTGGCGGGGCGTGGCGGGGCGGGGCGGGGGGCCAAACCAGTCGCCCTGAGATTAGGAGCCGGCGAAAGCTTCCCAAGATTTCAAAGTCAAGTCTCCCGGCGTGGCGCTGCGTGGCGCGGCGGGTGGTGGCGCGCTCTGGTGAGGACTGCCGAGAGATGAAAGTGGGCCCAACTTATTACTCAGGATTGGCTTTCCTATAAGGGCCTTAGTAACTGCGGGGGCGTACAGAGGGGGGCGGGCACCTGTCAGATCCTGCAGACCCATTAGGAATCTGTGCATGACCGTGTGTAAGAGCGAGAGGAAGGGAGATAGAGAGCGTGTGTGTATACGAGTGAGAGAGACAGAGACAGATTGATTGATTTATTATTCTACAGTTTCACTGTTTCTTTAAAAGCCAAACAAGGAAGACAAGATACCTAACAATCTTCCGATCCAGGCTGGTTCACTTAGCTACGTAATGCCGGGGTGGGGAGATCATGTGGGTGCACTGTAAAAAATACTCCTAAGGGTTACGGAAAAAATTTCCATGATAAAAGGCGTCAAATTACAATTTGAAATTGTAAATTTATAAGCACTCCCTATCGACTTGGTATTAAACAACGAGCAAATCGTTAATTCACGACATATTTCGTCAATCAAAATTACGCGCTGCTTCCTGCTTCATCCCTGTCAGGTGCTAAATCTTTCACTAATTATCTTTTAATATTCCCAAAAACCATCCAAGACTTCGGGTGCATGGACGCCTAAACGGGCCGACGATTTAAAGAGTGTCGGCCATCTGGGACTAATGATAAAGAGTGAGGCCAGTGCAGACGACGGCGTTGGCTGTGGAATCCCCCAGCAGCGGGACTCTGCCAGCGGGGATCCGGCCCGGGGCAGAGCGTCTCTTTGCCCAGCCAAGCGCATTGACAACAGAAGGCGTCAGTAATGCCCCCATTGCCGACCACTCAAGCACTATCTTTTGTTTCAGCCCCTTCGCTTGAGCGACATGCGCCGCTGCCGCCTACGTAACTGAAATAGCTCGGGAAAAGAGCCTGATGGGCCAAAATTCACTCAATATATAAAAGCAATGTTTTTCTTATAATTCTGAAAATAAGGGGAGAGAGAGAGAGAGAGAGAGAGAGAGAGAGAGAGAGAGAGAGAGAGAGAGAGAGAGTAAAATTCAGTTCCGGACCGTTTCGTTGGCACTTTTGGCCGGTTGCGCGATCTAGGGCTATCAGGGCCAATTAGGCAGCGTATGGGGGCTCCATTCCTCTTCGGGAAATTCAGTTAGCAGCAGCCCTCCCCTTTTCTTTCGCGCACTCTCTCCCTCTTTCTCCACACACGGCCTTCGGAGCGAGGAAGCAAGTATAGAGCCACAGTCGCTCTCACTCTCTCCCACACACTTTGTTCTCCCACTCTCGAAACGTGCGGGAAAGAGACAGAAGTCGCCACCATGGCGCGCGCGAGATTCTTGCTAATAGCGAGAAATCGAAACGAGATTCCTGCCGGCCTCGCTTCGCTCCACCGCGCGCCGCACCCGCACTCTGGACGATTGCCTTCATAAATCTCGAAAGAAAATGGTGGATGGGTTAAGGAGGGGGACAAACAAGGAGACAACAAGGCGTATGAAGGCGAGGGATGGTGGTGGTGGGGGCGGGGAGCGTCGGGGGCTGTTTGCCGCTACTTACGGGCTGCATGCGGGCGGACCTCGTGATGAGTGAGTTTGCAGAACCCCAAACTGCAAATAATCCCGATCCGGGGGAAAAGCGCAGCGGACAGTGCAGGGGAGGAGGCAGGTGCTAGGGAGGGGGGGGGGGGGCATCCGTTCTTATTCGACCTCAACTCCGTCGGCATCCTCTCGCGGAGGGGCACGTCGGGGTGGCCTCCAGATATTACGGATGCGTGCTCGCGGGAGACGTGGCCCGCCACCGACCAGTCCCTCTCTCCTTCTCTCTCGCCTGGCCCCCCTTCAGATTGCGAAGAAAATACGCGCGCAGAAGGTGGAGGGGGACCAGAAAGAGGTAAAAACGGCAGACAAAATAGATGAAGTCGAGAAAGTTTTCAAGAAAGTTTTTCCTTCCTTTCTCTATTTTTATGTAGCCGGCTCTCTCTCGGTCCCCCTCCGCCTCTCCTTGTGTCTCTCTCCCACACCCGCTCGCCCCCATGCCGCCACGCGCGCCGCCGGGCCAGCGTCTGGCTTTCGTGGAGTCCCTGCGAGGGAAAAATAGGTTGTCCCATATATATATGTGTGTGGGGCATGGGGGAAGGGGACGCGGGGTTACCTTGCACGGGCAGTAATGCATCATTATACACCGGCGAGCGATACTCGGCGCTCAGGAGCGGAGGAGCACTGCGGAGTATCGTTCGAGCACTCTGAGCGTTTCACTGCGAAAATCTTTCTCGCGCATGTGCAAACTTACCTCACTCGACGAGGGACATTCTATTACGAGAGTGGGAAGGAAGGAGTAGAGGTGGAATGTCGTAAAAACAAATAAGGCGACATTTCACTAAATGCCTCTGGAAATGCACAAAAATTGCCAAAAATTGCCAAAAATTGCACCCCTCCAAATTTGGAGTCCAGTGGGCCAGGAGCGCCTTTGAAGAGGAACTATTTCGCTTACACCTCTAAAAAGTAATGAGGTGGCACCTATATTTTTGCAGTTCATTACCCTTCCAAAAGGATTTTGTTGACTCTATTGCACCAAAATAACTAAGCTACGCGGAATTCCGTTCCTTCGAAGAGACTAGAGAGTGGCAGTTTTTGACAGCGAGCTGGACATAAGACGCCCCAGAGGGCGACACTCTTTTCCAGCTGAGTAAATAGTGGCGCTGCGGGGGGCGTCAATACGACACGACAGAGCTGTAATCCCGCAGAGCGACTTCATAAAGTTGGGACGCGCACCCGTCAAGGCGTTTGTTCGACACGTACGCGTACATACACGAGTACATACACGCTAGTGCGTGTGCAATTACACTCACAAATACTCACACACGTACGAGTTCAAGTAGATGCAGGGTACGAGTTTCCATTAAGGGTCATAGTGCCTGGGTCCCTGGGTACCTTGCGAGAGAACAACCAGGCCAGTGGCTGCCGGCTCGGCTACCGGTACGGGTATTGTGCTGCAGCATCTCAAAGTGCCTACCTCCACCGCGGGCAGCGAGGCCTTCACGAGGCGCGGTACCATTGAGGAACGGCTGAAAGGCGCAGGGGTGGGGGGTG